TATAGTAGGAGGTGGGGCACGCTGTCTGTTAATTACAAAACTAGTACACCGTTGTCTAAAAATAGTCCCGTTCCCTCCCCTGCCAATCCACAAATCTAAGAATAACGCGACCTGAACTCAAGCTCCCCTAGGTTGGTGTACTCTCATCCCTATGATACGTAAACACTTCGCACTCTAAGAGCATTAAGGTACCAGGCACTCATTAACATTTTCTGGAGCAACGAATCCCACAGACTTCCAGTTGGACAGGACATCCTCTTTTCTCTGGTCCACCTCTGTCCTTCCTCACCCTTAGGGAGGCCTAAGACGCTCTCAGGGCCAGTGCTCAGAGAGCACTGCTGGTCCTTCCCAGCCAGGGCTGAGAAATTTCCCCAGGGGTGGGGCGGGGTTGGGGGTGGGGTGTCACACAGTGGGCGCAGCTGGGGCTCTGCTCCTCTAGTCCCGCCGCCCGGCTGCCCCCATGAAGGTCAGCATTTCCTCCCTGGCACTTTCCTCTCTCTTCTCTTAGCCACCATCACAGACCTGGCATGGAAAGGCAGTGAGAGGCAAGGCCCTAGGCATATTGGAGGTGCTGACCTACCCTTGTTCGGCTCTAAAATGGCACAATCAATGCAATTCAGCAGACAGTGACTACTAGCCTGCTCTTTGAGAGAAGGTGGAGCAGAGTGACCGACCGTGGAGTCTGGAGCCATGAGACGGGTTTGAGTCCGGGCTCTGCCTCTTACTAGATGTGTCACTTCAGGCAAATTGCCTAATTCTGTAAGCCCCAGATTCTTCATCTATAAAATGAGGCCAACCCCATGGGATTGCTGTAAGGACAAAACTTAGTTGGTAAAATGCTTAGCACATAGCAACAGCTCAAATGATCGTATTACCACCACTAGTATTAGTACTCCAAATGATCCTATTATTACCACCATGAGTACTCATCCTCCCACCCCCACCATCACTACCACTGCTACTGTTTATTAACCTGCTAGATGAGAAGTCACGAGGTAAACAGACTGTCCCTGCGCCAGAAGCACACAGCGCACAGCAGGCAGGTCAGTGTGACCCAGTGTGTCTCGGAAGCTCTCTGGCACAGAGAGAACACTGAGGCAGGAGGGCAGCCTTGTCTGCTGGGAGGCCTCGTCTGCTGGAGGCCCCCAGGGGACCACGCAGGATCAACACCATCCCCCTAAGCCGGGCATTAGGCCCTGAAGAATCTTCCTCAAAGGTCTTTCAGTCTCACCCCTTCCTCTTCACGCTGGTATGTTTTTACACCACCCACAGAGCCTTCCCCTCCCTGCAGCACCAGCTACCGGGCCCCCCAAGGCCAGCTCCTGATGGGATTTCCTATTTTTACCACGCCTCTGCCCCTGGTTTCCAGGACTTGTCCTCAAACAGCTCTATGAAGCCATCAGTTTATCTCTGTAAAGTCTTATCATGGTTTCCCATTGGGCAGAGGGCACAGGCTCCACCTCACATTCGGAGGGGCCCCACCCCACACACCCCAGCCCCAACTCCTGCTTCTTGGGACCCACGTTTCATTCCGGCACCTCTCCTTCACAGCCTTTCAGATGCCAAATCACATAGGAAGTCGCCCCGGAAGAAGAACAGTGACACCCTCTCCCTCTTAAAAGGGTCCCCTCCACCCAACTCCAAAAGCCCCCACCCTGCTGCACCCCTCAGACGCAGGGCCTTCCCTGCTTTGGCCCACGCTGACCTCCAATTTCCCTAAAAGTCTCCAGTACGCATTTCCAAACTTTGCCCTCTGCCACTTAGTCATACCTTTCCCTGTGTGGAGCCTTAACCTCTTCCTGTCTGCAACCTTTCCTCCCGGGGAAAGGTGATAACACCTTCCTGGAACCAGGTACATATCTAGGGCTCAATGAACACTTGAGGATGGATACCGGCTCTAGCTTTCAAGCCCTCCACAAGCAACAAGAAAGACATGAGATAAAGTTGTCGCTGACTGCTTGACCCCAGGTAGCACACCAGCCAGTTGCTCTGCTCCATTTTTGCCAACAGAGAAAGCTCCCCTCCCCTGGCCACCCTCTTTATTCCCCCAGTCTGCTTCTCTCAGAGTAAGTGCCAGCAGTCAGAGAAATGGTAGAAAGTCTGCAGCAATCCGGAGAGGAGAGGGGAACCTTCAGATCTAACCCAAGCATGGGCAGCAGAAAAGAAATGGGAAGAAAATGTCTTAGAACATGGAGATAAGAGGGGGGCAGGTCCAAACTAAAGCCCTAAAACCTAAGGTAGTGGCAAGAATTATTTTTGAAAACGCAAGCAGTTACATGTAATTTTGGATGCAGGGCTGGTAAGTTACATAATTCACACAGGATTTTTATAAAACAATTGAAATTCAGTGATCAGCTGTGGTATTTGTGAGAACAGTATTGCCATCTCACCTTCTTTCCCTGTGAAATGGGAAATTTATAAAAATAAATATTAGAGAGCTGATGCTGGCATGACGTTTAAGCGGGAATGTGTCATGACATGGCAAAATCATGCAAACCGTTGGTAAATGAAGTCAGTTTTAAGACAGGACTACAGAAAGATCTCATTTCTGGAGCAACACAAGAGGGTGTCTTACTTAGATGAGCAAGGCTTGGATGCTTCCAGCAAGTGGGGTAGTTGCTATCCAATCCCCGCATGAACCTTCATACTGCTGAAGACCTCCTGGGGGACCTGTCCACCAGTGAGGTTCAGGCCAGACCTCTGATACTCAGGGGGTCAGGAAGGAGCAGACAGAGAAACCAGCCCACAGGGCAGGAGAGCAGAAACCCTAAGAAAGGTGTCGCCATGATGAGAGAAGCAGGCCAGCGTACCCTGGGGCAGACAGGACCTGGGTGTATCCAGGAAGAGTATCCATGGCCAGTTCCTGAGAATAAAAGCCACAGCCAGAATGTCCCTGAAGAGTGGGTCAAGATTGAAAACACAGTTTTCTAAATAGCAGTGAGTTGCTTCTGCCAAGGGGTCAGGGGGCCCCAAAGTTTTAAAGATTGGGCCCGATTTCAGGGCACACAGAAGGTCATTGGTATAAGGTGCGATGGAACTGCAGGTCTCGAGCCTGTTACTGTTGAAGGCCAGTGGTCTACACAGGGCACCTGAGAGTGAGAATTTCTCAGCAGCCTCCATCTCCATCTTGTGGCTCTAAAATTTAATGAACAAACATCACAATTTAGACAGATATATCCCAGGATATTTCTGTCTCTCTGCTCTAACTCTTGCTCACTAGGTCAGGGATGTGTCATTGGCATCCTGAGACCCCCACATAAAAACCACAAAGGCACCCTAGCAAGCATTCTGCCAGGGACAATAGGCAGGGTAACCTCAGACTCCGGCTGTCTGGTAAACCTAAAATTTAATGAACAAACATCACAATTTAGATGTTTGCTCTAACTCTTGCTCACTAGGTCAGGAATGCGTCATTGGCATCCTGAGACCCCCACATAGAAACCACAAAGGCACCCCAGCAAGCATTCTGCCAGGGACAACAGGCAGGGTAACCTCAGACTCCGGCTGTCTGGTAAACTTGCCACCCCTTGGATGATGGGCTAAATTATGACTTTATAATGATACGAACCTATAGTATGGCCAACAGACAGGGGTTAGGCAACCAGCCTTTTCCTTTCTCAGTAGATGGACAAAGAAAAAGATGGACAGACAGACAGACAGATGGATGAATGGATGGATGGAGGGGTAGATGGATGGACTAATGGATGGACTACCACTTTAGTGAGCCATTTGTCAGCCAGATGCCTGTAGAAGCTTCCATTTAATTTTTCAGTCAGTGAACATTGTTCAGAAAGACAAAGGACTCCAAGAGGGTCGTGCCTGGGAAAGCTGACACCTGGCTTGGGAGCCAGGAATACAGGCATGAAAAGACAGTATGTTAATGTGAGGTTTGGGGTCACATGCAGCTCTTCCTTCATGCCCTTCCCCTGAAGGAGCTGAATTCGCCCATCTAGGGAGACAAATGAACACATAAAGAGGCCTGAGTAAGCACAGGTCCAGCTGAGAAGGAATCCTGGGAGTTAGGGATAAGGCCCTGGGCCGCAATGAGGCCTCCCTTAAGCAGCAGAGGTGCCCGTTACCTCAGGGCGAGCTGGCAGGTGCGTGTGAGAGAGAGCGGGAAAAAGGACAGCTGGAGGGAGGTGGGGGGAGGGGAGAGAAAGGGCCAATAGTTATTTTTGAGTAGGAAAAGGCATGACAAACAAACAAAAAAAAGAATTCAATAGGGAAGAATAGTGCTGAGACAATTGGACATCCACATATCAAAGAGTGAACCTGGACCTGTACAGGACTGTTTATTCCCGATGTGGTTTTTGGCACTACCTGCCTCACGCCATCATTCCCTGATCCTGAGGCTGGGACACACATCAGACTCCGCTTTACCCAAACTCCCTGTCTCACGTGGAGGAGGCAGCATTTTTCTAGTCAATTCTTGTTGCAGTTTTCTCCTCGCATCTCTAACCTCAAGTTCCCAAGAGTCAGTCTGAGTCCCCCGGGGCAGCTGTCATGCTCAGTATCACACAAAAGAAACCGGGACCCTGGGCAGACCCGTCTCCTCCTCGGTCAACATAGGGAAACAGAAGCCATGAGAAGGAACTGAGGCTGTGCCTGCCTCTGACCTCTGACTTCTGCACCTCGCAGGTGTAACTCAGATCAGATTCGCCTTTGGGGGGCATTCTCCGAACTGGTACGACAATTTCCCTTCAGCGATCCCCCTAAAACACTTTCCTGGAGTCTCCGTATGCGCCTTCGCTGTTGTGGCCTGCAATACAACGTGCTCTAAGGATCACACATGCCACCTAAGCGGCTCTCGAGGTTTTAAGAATAATTAGCAATTTCAAGCTTTTAGAATATTATCCCCTCTGTGGAGAAAACCAGAAAACAAAACCACACCAAAGACAAACTCTGAAATCCCCAAACCCCAAGCTTATAAAGTAGAACAGGGAATTAAGAGTCTAAATAAAAGGATTTGAAAAGGTACATCTGAGCAGACCAAATCCTACCTATGTCCTTTTCTTCTGTTTTCTTTGTGCCACACCCAGATGTGTACTTGGCCTCTGCAGGACCAGGTTTCATCGGGTTTTACTGGAGACTTAGTGTCAGCGATTAAACGGTTATGCCTCCGCTGGCGCGGTGAATCTGGAAAAGAGAAGAGGTAGCTTTTTGCCTACTTATTCTGGTGTTTGTGTTGGCTGAAGTAGAGAACCGCAGAGAAAGGGGACTTGGAAAGTTAGGAGAGTGGCGACTGAGGCCTGAATGAGGATGCCGGCGAGATGCTGGGAGGATGGGCAAATGTCCTCAGCTCCACAGAAAGGCCCCTTCCAGGAAAGGGCCCAATACCCTCCATGATGACTACAAAATGCTTGTCTTTTTGGCTTCCCAGTAAAAATGACCAGGCCAGAGGAGAAGGGAAAACACCGTGCAGCATGAACTGCTTCTCTCCTGACTAGTGGCTGGCCTGGCAAAGCCCCAAAGGCCACATGTTTGCCCTTCCAAAGGTCAGCACTACCCTGGGCAGCCTGGGCACAAGTGACCGCACACCCACAGCTGCCAGAAGTCAGGCCCACCCCTCGGCATACTCTCACAGCCAGGCAAGTGGGCAGACCCAGGCGCCCTGAGTGCAGGCACAGCTGGCCAAGGTCACAGGGGGACAATCCATAAGCCTAGTTGTTCTTCAGTGAGTTCCCTCTGAGGCCAACTGTTCCACAAGGAATGTTTCTCCAGCTCAGGGCCCACCTGGTGTGCCCTGGGCCCTCTACAAATGTTTGTTGTTGGCTCCCCAGGGTAAAAAAAAGCAAGATTGGGACTGGGCAAAGCACTCTCATTTACTAAGCCTTAATCCAGGCAAAGCCCTGACTAGTTTATTTTGGAAAGAGAAGACCACATAAATGCTGGCGTCTTTTATTTACTCCAGATAACCAAGACGTGGGGCTGGGGCCACAGCCCAGCACAGAGGTGTGCTCAGAGCAGACTTTCTAAAAACGCAGGCCACACAGGGAGTATTTGTGACAGACCTGGACTGGGGCAAAGAACGTCTGTCCTGAGAGAGTAGAGACAGACCAGGAGGCTGGGCTGTCCTTGGGGGGCTGGAGGGGATCTTGGGGGAGGCACACGGATAAATCAGATGTGCTGCTGACTGCTTGCTGGGTTGGAGTTTCTCACACCAGAATTCTCAGTTCTTCTCACAGTGCATTGCTGTAATCCAATGGCATCATTTTTAAACAACCCCCTTCCCGAAGGCAAAAGAAAAGTGAAAATTAATCTAATTAAAGTCGACAGTGTTCACAGTAAGGAAAATTCTGGTATTTTGCCAAGAGTCTTTCTCCCCAGCCAGCTTTGTGGGTAAAGGGCACAGGGTTTGGAGCCTGGCGGGCCCAAGCTGGAGTTCTGGCTGTCACTCAGCTATGTCACTCACTGTGGGGGACATGTGCCAAAGGGGCAAAAGTGTCACTTGTCTTATAGAACTGCTACAAGGGTATGAGAAAAAATGTAAGGGCTGCAAAGTCCCTGGTGAGTATTAAACATTCAGCAAGTTGGCCCTTCATGCCTCCCAGACTCGAGACCTACTTGCTGACCCAACTGAGGCCTGCGTAAGCACCTCAGGAGGAGCTGTGACCTACCTCTGTGCACCCCAAGAGTCCTGGTAGAAGTGTCTGGAGGTGGGGGCTTCTGGGAAGGAGGCTCCAAAAATCCTGCCACACCCAGCTGCTAACCTCTTTCATAGCTATTACTGTCTTATCTCATCTGGACCTGGCAGCAGCCCTGTGAGTAGACAGTGACTGGTTGGTATCCTATTATCCCCATTTTAGAGATTCAGAGAGGGAATGAGTATCGGACTAGGTCTCACAGGAAGTTACCCCGAGAGCTGGGTCTCAGCCACTCCAGTGCTCTGACAGCTATTATTTATCAAGTATCCAGATATTCTACCACACTCCCTATAGGGATGGGGTAGTGTCCATACCTCCCAGCATGTGACTGGTTGTTCAGAAGTGCAGCAGAAGTGACACTATGCCCGTTCTAGACCTAAGTCTGAAGAAGGCCTGGCAGCTTTTGCCTTTGTGTTCTGAGGGAAGCCAGCCGCCTTGAAATAAGGCCAAGTCCACTGAGAGAACCGTGTTACAGGAAGCCCAAGCTAACTACACAGAGGAGAACAGAGGATCCCAGGAAAATTCTCTCTCTCTTAATGGTTCTCTTTCTCTGAAGAACCTGCCTAATCCAGGCTCCTTGAGGCCAGGAACCAAATATGATTTGTCTTTGATCCCTCGGTCTGCAGTGGTGTCCTGGAAACCACCCAAATGTACAGAAGTAGGAGATGGGTGAATAAACTAGCACATAGCCATGCAATAGAATATAATACTCTTTAAAAAAACACACAAAGAGGCTTACTATATGCTGATAGATATGAGATCTACAGAATATTCTGTTAGGCAAAAGGAGCAAGGTACAGAATAGCATTTTTAGTATAATCCCTTTGATATAAGAAAGGGAAAAATTAGAATGTAGTCCTTTAATGCATGAAGAATACTGAAAGGAGAAACAAAATATAATTGAAAGTACTACTTATTGTGGTTATGCTTTTAAAAAAGAGTTCTTACCTTTTACAGATACCTACTGAATTAATTATGAGTGAAATAATATGGTGTCTGGGATTTGCTTCAAATAATCCATGGATAGGGAAATGGGTTGCAGAAGAGAACCGAGCTTGGCCATGAGATGATAACTGAAGAAGCTGGGTGGTAGGTACACAATGATTCATCATATTATTCTGTCTACTTTGATATCTTTTGGAATTTCCAATAATAAAAAGTTTTTTAAAATTGTCACCTCAAAGGAAGGAGCAGGACATGAAGGAAGAGGGTGGTTGGGGACAGATTGAAAACACCACCGCCATACTTCACAGATCATCTTTTTTTTCCTTTCTTTTAATTATGAAGATGAAATTTACATAACATGAAATTAACCATTTTAGGCATTTTAAAGAGTACAATTCAGTGGTATTTAGTCCATTCACACAGCTGTGTAACCACCGACTCGGTCTAGTTCTAAAACATTCTCATCACCCCAAAAGTAAACCC